TGCATAGGGATAGATACCTGGAGACACATATTTGTTAACTTACTGGATGCAGCTTGCAGTTGCAGGTGGTGGATCACACAGTGTAGCATCATTTTCAACTCTCTGGTTGGGAATATTTCAAAGCATTTCCTTGATATGAGTGACTTCTACACATTTTATTCCCTTATGTTTAACTTTTTACAACCTGGTTGGGTTTCACTTAACTCCATTTAGGTTTCATATTGAATTGCTCTGTTTTCCCTAAGTAGCTGCTAGGCAATTTTGTTATGTAATGTAACTTGAAATTAAGTCCCTTTCTCAAACTGTATTTCTCTTCTCCTCTTGAACCAAAAATAAATAAATAAAACAACAGAATAATAACTGGAAAATTATACTAGTTTTGGTTAATTTTCTATGTTTCTTCATTAGCACATGCAAATAAATTAGTGATTTTGCAAGAGGATTTTCTGTTGCAGTCTTTAATGATAAATTATGTCATTCACACAACGGGTTTGCATAGAAAAGAGATGAAAGGTACCATTTTCATATTTGTCACTTCAATAGTAAACCTATACACTTTGACTATGTAACTGCTATTATATAAATTTATTCTGAGAAAGTTAGAAAGGATTCACATGTAGATTCATGTATAAGTATGTCCATTGGAATAATTTTATAATAGGGGCAAATTGGAAACAAAGCTAATAGCCATATGTGGAAATTATTAATTTATTAAGGATTGATCATATAACTTAATGTAATATTTCCATTAAAACATATTCATTGGTACATGTTTAAAATATATTGTAAAGCCTATAAAGATATAAAATTATATATTCAGTATGATTCAAGTATGTAAAATATAATGTATACGAGAGACTGGATGGAAATAAAAAAAATGATAAATACCATCAGAGAGTGACAATGCAGATAATTTTACATACTTTCTTATTTATATTTTCCCCTATAGTCTCAATTTTTACAATAAATGTGTGAGAGTTTAAAACAGGACAATTATCAATAGCTAAAATGCAAAATGTAGTAGGATTGTTTTTTTCTTCTCTCGTATGTTATGATACCTTTTTCAAAGACAAAAATTCCTACAAAAATACAAAAATAATTTTTCTCTTGTATGTTCTGATAATTTTTTTCAAAGACAAAAATTATAATTAAGTTAGGTGCTGTTAACATGAATTTGTATACTCCTTATTATCTCATAAACATATATCACAGAGAAGTAGTTTGTACTAAAACCAAAAGACCAGTCAATTTGAGGCTATACCTGGTAATATAGATCATTAAGGAAATCATAATGATATTCATTGTAGAGTTCCACATTGCTATCCAAAGAGGTTGAGGTTTCTCATGACATATAACCAGTGAGTAGTAAAGCCTCTAAATATTCAAATAGAAGTGGTTTTGCATGACCTTCCAAATGCAGTTGCGTATATAATACATCAATTGTACTTTAGTCATATTAGACAAAATGTACACTTGGAAATGCTACAGTAGCAGTAGGAGGCATTGGAGGTATGGGAAGCTGTGTATTTCTTCACTTAATTTTTCACTTTTCTAAGAAACATATTCATAATCCTCTGTTCCAGCTACTGTGTTGTTGATTGGAACTGGAGTCCCTATTTCTTTTGTTGTTATTATTGTTGTTGTTAATTCTCCCCGGAGGATACTTTTCCATTATTTTTTTTTTTATATTTTTATTGATTTCAGAGAGGAAGGAAGAAGAAGAGAGAGACAGAAACATCAATGATCAGAGAGAATCATTGATTGGCTGCCTCCTGCAAAGCCCCCTACTGGGGATTCAGCCCACAACCCAGGCATGTGCCCTTGACTGGAATCAAACCCGGGACTCTTCAGTGTACAGGCTGATGCTCTATCCACTGAGCCAAACCAGCTAGGGCCATTAATTTATTTATTTTTTTTATTTTTTTTTTGGAGAGAGTGGAAGAGAGGGGAAGAGACAGAGAGATAGAAACATTGATGTGAGATAAACACATCAACTGCTTGCCTCTTACACACGCCCTGACTGGGGCCAGGTATTGAGCCTGCAATCCAGTAACACGCCCTTGACCGGAATCGAACTAGGACCCTTCAGTCCGTGTGCCTACACTCTATCCACTGAGACAAACCAGCTAGGGCTAGAGTCCTTATTTCTTCTGACTACCCTTATCTATAATAATAAATGCATAATATGCTAATTAGACTGGACATTCTTCCAGACCTCCTTCCATTCTTTCAGATGAAGCTGAGGCTGCGAGGGAAGCCCAGGTCCCAGGTGCCTGCCAGCAGTCAGAGGGAAGCCTGGGTCCCAGCAGCTGGGGAAAGAGGCCTACTCTTACACAAATTTTGTGCATCAGGCCTCTAGTTTTACTAATATATCAAAATGTTACTTAGTGGTTTTATTTTTCTCATATCCATATGAAACTTATTTAATATGGATGTTATTGTCATAGTTACATTTTAAAAGCAAGTGAGTTAAAACATGTAACCACATTTATTTAATTTGAATTTTTTATTGTTAATTTTTTTGTTAGAGATATTCTAAATAGTTGTGCCATCTGATTTTGAAAAAAATGATATTCATAGATAGTCACCTACATTACTGCATTTTTATTTTTTCATTTTATTTATTGAGAACCTATTATGTGTCTGGCACTATCACAGATGCTGAATGTATGGAAAATAAAAGTTATTTCTCTGCTCAAGGGTCTTCATAATGGAGATAAATCTGTTAATGAAATTTATAGTGCCATGTTCATTTCCCTTTGGATAATTACATTTAAAGAGATTTTATATTCATTTTAGATCAATACTGTAATATTCTGGGCTAAAAGGAAAAAAAAATAGGGTGATTCTACATGTCTAGAAAGGAATTCTTATGACCTCATTTGTCTTTTTGTATGACCACTATATTTCAAGACAGTATATGGTAAATAAAATATGAAAGTTCTTTATGTGGGTCCTAAGTAAATAGACACATGAAATTTATCATTTTAAACACATGAGAAAACGCCATAAAGAAGCCATAATTCCCACTCTTTTCCCACTATTGTGAATAAGCTGAGTCAAAGGTAGCATGTATGTGGTATTTGAAGATGCTGAGAGACACCACTAAACATTGCCTGATAAAAATTATTTGTATTTGGTGGGCAAAGGGCATATCCAGTGAGCATCTTAACAGAGAGGCTGACTAATATTTTGATAGCTACTCTGAGAGAACCAAGTGATTTGAATGACTTTAGAAGAGTAAAACTCACTTCATTTCTCCACTTTTTAGTCCTATAGAACTAATTGAGGGATTAATTAATTATATATCATATTGCAATACAGCCGGGGAAATGAGAGATTAATAAAGCCTCTCAAATGTATCTTTTTTTGAAAAAAAAAATCAAAACACCCACAAAACTCATTTGTTTGCTTATTTATATATTTATTATTTTTAGTCCTCACCTAAGGATATGTTTTTATTGGTTTTAGAAGAGAGGAAGAAAGAAGGAGAGAGGAAAACATTGTTGTGAAAAAGAAACATCGATTAGTTGCCTCCTGCACTCACCCTGACCAGGAATCAAATATCATCCACAACCCTTTGGTACATAGGACAATGCTTCAACCAAGTGAGCCACACCAGCCAGGGCTCCATTTATTGCATATTTATACATAGATTCTCTATATTTAGTCCAAGTTCAGCAAAAATGTATACCCACGCCAAGTTTGGCAAAGAATCCAATATTGTGAGTTTCAGAAATAATAAATAAGCAAATGCGCATATTTCCTTATCTGTGGCTTCCCTTTTAAGACCTCCAAGTCTCCGATTTGATTAAGAAATAGGAATATAAGATATATTGACAATGTAAGAATGTGCCACAATTTTTTTTTGCAGTATACTGAAGAAAAACTTTATTTGTTCCATATACAAACAATAATTTCCAGTATTATGCAAGAAAATCTTGTTTCGGCCATTTTTTTCTTTCTACACAATAAAAATAAAATGGAACATTAATAAGATTTTTACAAATTTTTGTTTATTTTAATGAAGCTGGTACAGACAATGTCCATTTAAAACCCAAATCCCAGGCCAAAAAGTACAAATAAAATAAAAAAGAGCAGTGTTCTGTTGCACACACTTCTGCATGAAGAACTTTATTAACTGATAATGAAAATTAAAACTTTTCTGGGATCTTCTGACAAGATTTTTCTTTACTCTTAAAATGCTTTCTCTTCAGTGAAGCCATCTTTGGCATTAGTCTTTACTCTCACCTCATCTGTCATCTTGACTCCAACCTGATATTCCTCTTCTTTTGGTCCAGATCTTCAGATTTTAAAAGTAGCTTCAAGCCCTAACCGGTTTGGCTCAGTGGAGAGAGCATTGGCCTGCAGACTGAAGGGTCCCAGGTTCGATTCCGGTCAAGGGCATGTACCTTGGTTGCGGGCACATCCCCAGTAGTTGTAAAGGAGGCAGCTGATCGATGTTTCTCTCTCATTGATGTTTCTCTCTATCCCTCTCCTTTCCTCTCTGTAAAAAATCAATAAAATATATTTGTTAAAAAAGTAGCTTCAAGCTGCGGAAAGGTCATTTTCCCACAGTTTAGTTCTATGAAAAACTTCCGCCTCCCACTGAAAGTCATAGTCCAGGAGTGAAGCAATCACATACTAGCACTTCAGGGCCAATTAGAAGTCATTATGAACACTTGCATTGGTCGACCTCATTTATCACAAGCCTGAAAATGCACAGTCCTGAAAAAGGTGGCCTCCCTGTGCACACACGCAATATTTCAAAAGGAGAGGGCAATATTAAGGAGGCGGATGTTTGATCACCAAAAATCAGCACAATGAAAACAAACAATAATGAATAACGGGCACTAGAATTCAAATTACCAGATGTTTTAAAGAGATGGGGGGGGGGGAGGGCGTCAGTTTTCAATTCCATTTTAACACCACATTACAAAATAAATATTTTTAAAAATAAAAAAGGATTGAGGGAAAATAAAATAAAATAAAAAGAATATCTAAACCATTAAATGATCCCCTGTTTGTTTCTGATAAACTTCAATCACAACCTCTTCCTCCATTCCCAGTTCTTTTGGGGTGTGATTATAAGCAATTCTCTGACCTTCAAAGAGAAACCTGAATGAATTCATTGGAACTCCCTGTCTTTGACAGTATGATTCTTTGAGTTTCTTGAGATGTGTTGTCATTTTCACTTTGAAGTGAATCTCACTGCTATCCTGTCCAATGACTTTGAGTTTAATGTATTCTCCTTCCTTCTTATCCCCCAAGTCCTCAGTTGAAGGTTTTACCTCCTGGTCAGACATGGTGACGGTGCTTCACCTGGGGTCACTGGCTCCAGAGTTTACAATTCCATCCCTCTTTCCCACAGCACAACCCACAATTTGTTTTTGATGAAAGAAAGAAAGAAAGAAAGAAAGAAAGAAAGAAAGAAAGAAAGAAAGAAAGAAAGAAAGAAAGAAAGAAAGAAAGAAAGAAAGAAAGAAAGAAAGAAAGAAAGAAAGAAAGAAAGAAAGAAAGAAAGAAAGAAAGGAAGAAGAAAAGAAAGAAAGAAAAAAATATATATATAATGTTTTGTCATTTGGACCACTAACTTTACTATTCAAATAGTAAGTTTAGTCCAGATCCAATAACTATTTTGATGATTGAATTATCTTTACAGCCAGTGATCCTAAAAAATTAGTTTTAGATAGAGCAAAGTGTACGTACAACTTAGTTAAGTAATCAATTTGTTAACCCTCAATCATTCTCCAAGTGATAACACTATTGTTCCTCAGTGCATAATGTCCTATATCAGTGTTCAAAAACAGTGTAAATTTTTAAATTTAATAATATAATAATTACACACTTTTACTATTCCTCAGTATTTTGTAAAGAGCTATCGAAGTTTGACAAATTGAAAAGTCCTAACCCTTCAAAAGCATTCAACCTTTCAGTAGAAATAAGAAAAGCATACATGAATAAAACTCAGTTTCCCTATGACTTGTAAATATGATAACATAGCAATTGGAATTGTCTGTAGAAAATGAAAAATTCAGAAGAGTAAAGAATTTAGTTGAAGGACTAAGACAATGAGTTTTAACTGACATTGAGGACATGGATGTTTGGAAAGGAGGCAGGAAACCATTTTCTGAATTTTCAAGGACTTGATACCAATTGTTTTCACTTAGGAACCTTGTTGCTCTAGATTCGGATTTATTTTTTGATGTTGTTTGTGGTGCTAATTAGAAAGTTTCAAGCAAAGGAGCCAAAACTGCTTTTAAGTCCTCTACTATTTTTTTTCATTCCTTTGTCAAATATAGCCATTCCACACTGGCATCCTTTAATAATATTTCAATAATATCTTTTAGAAGTTTGAGAAAAAAACATAGTGATTTTATTTCTGTTTTAACCTTTATTTATTCACCATATTATGTTTGGTGCACATGTTTTTAACTTTCTGGGCCATTTACTGATCTATATTATATATTAGCCAAAAAAAAAAAAAAAAGTGGCACACATAACACAGCTTCGTTTTTATGTTCTCTAGTGTTCTGTTTAGCTTTCTTCTTCTTCAGTGTATTCAGGCCTCCGAGGTGCAAACACACTGATCAATGAAAGTTGTATTCATCTTTCTGTTTTCTCAGCAGACTGTGTTCTGTATAGTTGTATGTGGTATATGGTATCAGCAAATGTGTTGAATTGTACAACTGTAACTGTAGTCTATGGATTTTTTTTTTTGAAGTTTGATTTTGACCCATGAAAGAATAATTTTCAATATTTAATAACAGACTTGTCAAATATAATATATTTTAAAAATGATTCCTCATTTCATTTATTTGTTTTTACCTCTAAACCTCCAGTTGCATGTAGTTATGATTTCCTAAAAGAAATTATTAAATCATTGATCTTAGTCATCTTAAAACACGATTTAGAACATAAATTTTAGATTTATAAGTTGCAATAATATAGCTCTCGTCCCAAATACATATTTTATATTTTAAAGTACCATAAAATGTGGGCACATTAAAATGCACTAATTTATTTTGTGCTTCAAATGATTGACAAATCCACATAACAAATATTTTTAAAATATTTCTTATAAGTTTACCAGTGTTTTATAGGCCTCCGCTTCATTCAACAAGTACATGTACTCACTACCATATACGTTGCCATCTAAATAACTTTTTATATACCACATTTGTTGTTTCAAACATTTCTAGCCATTGCATGTTAGCATATCTTAATGGATGGCAGTTAAGTTTTTGCAGCATTTTCATCTTATTTAAAAATAAATATTTATGCTGTTATTTGAATATCTAATTGCATTTTGACATTGTCCTCAGTATATTACATTAGAATATGAAAATTAAAAATTTATATTGTGATAAAAGTAATAAGCAATTTTCTTGTACTTACTAAAATAGAACAATGGTGAAAATAAATATCCCAAAGATGATATATTTTTTAGGCTCAATTGGATAGTTATTAAACTTATATAAATGACAGGAATTTTTAACTATGAAAAAAAATTAAAGATCATTCATAAAAATCTGGTAATCTATAATAACTAGAGGCCCAGTGCACAAAAGTTTGTGCACTCGGGGGGGTCCCTAAGCCCAGCCTGTGCCCTCTTGCAGTCTGGGACCCCTTGGAGGATGTCCACCTTCTGGCTTAGGCCTGCTCCCTGGGGGATCGGGCCCAAGCTGGCAGTCAGACATCCCTCTGGCAGCCCGGCAGCCCTCGGGGGATGTCCACTTACCAGTGGGGAGCAGGCGTAAGCTGCAGTCAGACATCCTTAGCGCTGCTGAAGAGGCGGGAGAGGCTCCCATCACCACCGCTGTACTGGCAGCCATCAGCCTGGCTTGTGGCTGAGCAGATCTCCTCCTGTGGGAGTGCACTGACCACCAGGGGACAGCTCCTGCATTGAGTGTCTGGCCCCTGGTGGTCAGTGTGTGTCATAGTGACCAATCATTCCCAGTCATTCTGCTGTTAGGGTCAGTTTGCATATTACCCTTTCATTATATAGGAGAGAGGCCTGGTGTATGGGTGGGGGCCGCTGGTTTGCCCTGAAGGGTGTCCTGGATCAAGGTGGGGGTCTCGCTGGAGTGCCTGGCCAGCCTGGGTGAGGGGCTGATGGTTGTTTTCAGGCTGGTCACACCCCCTTCATGGTGGGGGTCTCCACTGGGATGACTGACCATCCTGACTGAGGGGCTGATGGCTGTTTGCAGCTAGTCATACTCCCTTCAGGGTGGGGGTCCCCACTGGGGTGCCTGGCCAGCCTGGGTGAGGGGCTGATGGCTGGTTTCAGGCTGGCCACATCCCCTTTAGGGTGGGGGTCCCCACTGGGGTGCCTGGCCCATCTAGGTGAGGGGCTGAGTTCCGTTTTCAGGCTGGCCAAGCCCCCCCGGTGATGGAAGCTCCCAGCCTCTCCTTTTTTTTTTTTTTAATTCTGGGATTTATTTACCTTCTACAATTGAAACTTTGTTACTTTGAGTGGAGCTCAGAGCTGGCCAGGGCAGGCAAGAGGGAAGCCTCCTGCTCGCTCCAGCTCCATGGCCACGACTGGCTGAAAGCAGGTATCTGGGGTTTATTTACCTTCTATAATTGAAGCTTTGTTGCTTTGAGTAGAGCTCAGAGCCATCCGTGGGAAGCTTGGCTTCCTCCATCATTGGGGCAACCAAGCCTCCTGCTTGCTCCAGCGCCGTGGCTGCCAGCTGCTATCTTGGCTGGGTGAATTTGCATATAGTTGCTATGATTGGCTGGTGGGCATGGCTTAAGGTGTAGTGAAGGTATGGTCAATTTGCATGTTTGTCTTTTATTAGTGTAGATAAAAGCATAATATGCTAATTAGACTGGACAGCCGAATGACCTTCCAGACAACCTTCCAAACGAAGCCAGGGCTGCAAAGGCTGAGCCCCTTGCACGAATTTCATGCATTGGGCCTCTAGTATATTTATAGAGGTTATATTTAAAAATTGAAATATAACCCTGGAGTTTACATATACAATTATATATATGGGAATATATATATATATATATATATATATATATATATATATATATATATATATAACTTTGGAAATAGAACACCAAGTAGAGTTCTAAATCTCCTGTTCAAATTTTGCCCACTTGCTTTTTTGTACAATATTAGGACGATACTGTGGCATTAAGCAACTGAAAATTAATTAAGGTAATTTTAAAGCAGGGCTGAATTCTATTTTTTAAATGTATATATTTTCTTACTAACCTGTTTTTTATTGTTTTAGTGCAAATTTTGTGACCCAACATTATATAAATTAGTTTTATGAAATTTATAAAAAGTCCAAGAAAGTTTGTGGCTTTTGACTAGGTGGTAAATAGGATACAGTGCCATGTAAATGTGCAGAGCTAAAATAATGACCTTTTCTGAAGAAATAAGCATGCATAATTAGTACTTTGATAGGATACAGTGTCTAGCAGAGAAAACCCATCCACATCATTTTGCCTTTCATTTTGAGCCATGTTTTCCAACACCAGTGTTTTGTTTTTTAGTTCTCTGGATTAAACTTCAGGTCATTGACAATTTAATACATATTTTTATTATTTAATCTAGTCCCATGCAATCTAGTCAGTGATTACATTCTGTTTCAACTTTTGAAGATAGCTTTTTTATTCTTAATGACTTCATTTTTTGTATTTTCTTGTATTTCTTAACACTGTCCATTAATACCTGACAATTTAACTGCTTTGTTCTTTAGTTTTGAATACCTTAACCATCGAGTTTTTTTAATTTTCTGCTTTCTTTGTTAATGTCATGTAATTTTTTCTTCACACCACACCATATTGTGCTACATGCATGTAAGTTTTTAAAATTTGTTTAGTTTTCACTCAAAGTACTTTCTACCCTTCCTACTTGTTGTTTCAACAGTTAATCAAATGATATGCAGCAATTGAGTTGGCCTTTGTATTTCTACTTTAGTTTCAATAGTTGAATTATCTTTTCTGATTTTTAGCCAATGATATAAGTTGTTCATATGCTCACTCAATCTGTACTAGTGATCTATTATCTAATATCAGGTTCCAAATACTAGTATTACTATTATATGGGAATTACCATTTTAATATTCAGATGTTGTATTGGGAAGAATATATATACAAAATTAGATGTAGCAGTGAATCATAAAATATCTGCTTTGTTTGTATCACATATCTCCAAATTTTATCTATGCATGCCATCTTTTTGTATTCAGGCAGTTATTTATGTGCTAGCAAATATACATTATGATATTCTATTCATCTGGAAACTGTTTTGAAAAGACAACATTCTGTTTTGATGTTATAAAAGACAATTTTTATAAAG